TTGGGGGATTAACCCCTGGACATGGGCTGGCAACGTGCGCTCGCAGCCCAGAAGCCAACCGTGTCCTGGGCTGCACCCAAAGCAGCGTGGCCAGCAGGTTGAGGGAGGTGACTCTGCCCCTCTGCTCCCCTCTGGCAGGACCCCAGCTGGAGCACTGCGTCCAGCTCTGGAGCCCTCAGCACAGGAAAGACATGGACCTGTTGGAGAGGGTCCAGAGGAGGCCACCAAAATGCTCCGAGGGCTGGAACAGCTCTGCTGTGAGGACAGGCTGAGAGAGCTGGGGTTGTTCAGCCTGGAGAAGAGAAGGCTCCAGGGAGACCTTACTGCAGCCGTTCAGTACTTAAGGGTGGCTTATAAGACAGGGACAGACTTTTTAGCAGGGCCTGTAGTGATAGGACAAGGAGTAACGGTTTTAACCTAAAAGAGTTAAAGATTTAGGCCAGATATAAGGAAGACATTTTTCACGAGGCTGGTGAAACCTTGGCCCAGGTTGCCCGGAGAGGTGGTAGGTGCCCCATCCCTGGAAACATTTCAGGTCAGGCTGGACGGGGCTCTGAGCAACCTGATCTAGTTGAAGATGTCCCTGCTCACTGCAGGGGGTTAGACTAGATGACCTTTAAAGGTCCCTTCCAGCATAAAGATTCTATGATTCTATGAAGAAAGAACAATATCTAGACAGGCAGACATGGTGTCTGGCATCCTCTGCTCGGCAATTAATAACTGGGAGATCCTTGGCTGCTACAACCTGTGGTCCCATGGGCATGTCTGCAGCCTCACGGCCCACATTTGCCCATGGTGACAGAGAAAAGGACCTCTTGCAGATGGCCTCAGCAGTTTTGGGCTGAATTCCTGCTTCAGATATGAACAAGATAGTAGCTGAAAGTGGAAGAGTCTGCTCTCCTTCCCTTCCAATAGCACCTGCTGCCTGTCCCAAGCCTCTCAGATGCTCCTGAAGGGTTGCCATGCTGGTGCCCATGCCTCATCCACTGATCTGAGCCCCCTTGGTGGGGCCAAGACCTGAGTCTGTTGCTCATCAAGGTGATAGGCCATTTGATGCTCATCCATTTTCCTTGACTGTTGTCTATGGAATCTGCAGCACGTATGAGCAGACACACTCACTGGGGTGAAGCTAAGACCTTACAACCAAGCTCTGCAACTGCCCCAGACATCTCCGTCACCCTTCTGATGTCCTCTTGCGCAGTGGACCCATGAGACGTCACCCACAACAGCTGCAGCCAGAGGATGCTTGCTGGTCATCAAGGATCGAGCTGAAAGCAGAAGATTCAGTTCCCCTTCATCTACTGGACTCCACGTGATGCAAGAGCCACTGGGTAGCCAGGGGATGGAGCAGTGCAGGAAGTGTCCTCTCCCAGCTGCCTTCATCAGATCTTCAGCATATTTCTTCTCCAGCTGGTGATGTCGGACCTGATCTCAGCCTCTGCCAAGGCTACCTCTTCCCGCACCGCTACCAGCAGCTTCTCCAAAACTCCTTTGCTGTCAGCTAGGTACCCTATGGGCGACAGACTATCCACCTGTGCTGGGCTTGGGGCTGCAGAGATCCTCTTCATCCTAGCAGGGCTGTGTGGTGAGTGCTCTCATGTTTTCCCCCATGTGTCCCCCCTCCCCGGTGCTGGCTGCATGCTGCATTTCGGGACGCGGCATGCCAGAGTGTTGCCGCTCCTCTTCATTTCTGGTCAGTTTGATTGTTGTTGCTGCAAATTTGTAAGGTGCAGGCTTAGAGCAACAACCATGCTTTCATGGTTAAGGTGCATGTGTAGACCAACACCCATGGTTTCATGACTTCATAAGGTGCACATGTAGGGCAACACCCATGATTTCACGGGTGCTTCTGCAAGTAGGGTAGACACAAGCCCAGCTGCAATAAGCAGCTCTCCTCCAGCTGATGGCTGCAGAAGGCTTGAGGCTTCAGTGCCAGTATCTTCTATAAGGTGCATGCCATGAAAAGGGGAGAAATTTTTATGGTGGTAGAGTCACATAGCATATTAGGAATAAGCAGTGAAAAGTGGGAAAGGTATAGAAACCAAGTGCACAGTGTCACTGCCATTTCAGTAGCGCTGACATTGGGAGCTTTAATGGCCAAAAATGGAGGAGGAATGGGATTGACCTGCCCTGTGATGACGAAGGAAGTATCACAGTGTTGATGTGCTTGGGTCGGGCTGGTCTGAGGAAGCAGAATGGGTAAGAAAATAAAGGAGAAAATAAAGGAGCCCTTTGCTTGGCTCCATTCCTTACCCTGGGGTCAAGGCTGTTCATACCGCAAAGCCAGGTTAGGGCTGTGGGTGCAGAGTCCCTGGCACCTTGTGCTCTGGCTGCACAGTCTTGCTCAAAATCACTCCCACAAAGAGCCTGCAACTCAGTAACTTGTGCTGGTGTTGTGCTTAGGGAGTTCATCCTGCAACTTGTGCAGAGTCAAGCACTTAAAAAGCCATTAGCAGTGCACTTAAAAAGCAGTTAGCAAAACGTCTTAATGTATTTTGTCCCTCCTGGTTTTGAGGGACTGTATTCTCTGCTGGAAAAGCCTGGACTTTGCCTAGGGGCCAGCTGCCATGTGTCCCCTTGAAAATAATTATAATAAAATTACGATTGTTCATGTCTTTCTCTCTTTCACTTGCTGGTTCTTCCCCATTCTTTTTGGCCAACAAGTGTCAAGATGCTTTCCCAGCTGCTGCCTAGCATCTTCTTTTGCATGATTTCCCATGAGCATTTCCTTCCCTTTTCTCTCCGTTGTTGCCAGCATCAGGTCCTGCTGACGTAAGGCTGGTGAATGGTCCCGACTCCTGCACAGGCCGGCTGGAGGTATTTTACAATGGCACTTGGGGGACGGTGTGTGATGACCACTGGGACCTCAATGGAGCCCGAGTGGTCTGCCGGCAGCTGGGCTCTGGGACAGCGCTGTCAGCTGTCGGTGGGGCTCGCTATGGGCGAGGAGCAGACCCCATCTGGCTGGACAACGTACGCTGCACCGGGACAGAGGCTGCCCTTTCCGAGTGCCAGGCACGGCCCTGGGGAGTTCACAACTGTGGGCATGGAGAAGACACCAGTGTTGTGTGCTCGGGTGAGGAACATGCACCCACCATGGCTTGCATCAGCTGCTGTGGACAACCAAAAGGTTAAAAAGCAGGCAGGGCAACCATCTGTGCCTTGCTATAGATTGGTTGCCCCTTCTTTTTGACTGGTAGCCACTTCTTGACTGGTGGCCCCTTGCTATTGACTGGGTGTCCTCTGTACAGCAAGTGTAGACATAGAGCTTACAGATAGACACGTACCTATGGCCACTGGCAGGTAGGACCCTTAATTTTGAGCCCCTACAGGTAGGCAGAATTACTCCATCCCTATCTAATATTGTGAAGAATTAGCCGCTTCACACCATTGCTCCAGGAAATTTCCAAATGCTGTTCTCACCTTCCAAAGCTCTTGCCCCAAGGCTGCAGCTCCCTGGCCATTTCTCAGCCCAACCACCTCCTGGCTTCATGGGGGATGAACCCCTTCACGGGCACAGCCTGTTAGACGTCATCCAGGCTTGCTGGGCAGGAGACCCTGCTCCTAAGCATTGCCGGCGATGGCATGCCCAGCAAAGTCTCTGACCGTTTGCTCTCCGGCGGTGTTTGCAGGGGCACCTTCTCCAGGTTTAACCCGCACCAGGCTGGTGAATGGCTCAAGTTTCTGCTCCGGCAGAGTTGAAGTCCTCCACAATGGTGAATGGGGCACCGTGTGTGATGACAGCTGGAGCCTGATGGATGCTGAAGTGGTGTGCAGGGATGTAGGCTGTGGCCAAGCACTGTCAGCTCCAATCGGGGCTGCCTTTGGGCAGGGGTCAGGGCCCATCTGGCTGGATGAAGTGACCTGTGCTGGGACGGAGGCTGCCCTTTCTCTGTGCCGGGCCACATCCTGGGGAAGCCATAACTGCAACCACGGAGAGGATGCTGGCGTTGAATGCACAGGTAACACTTAACTCCTGCTCCATCAGGGCTGGCACCCAGGCTACCACAGTTTTGTGTTTTGGTTTTGGTTTTGGTTTTTTGTGAAGGAGGGGTAAAAGAAAGAGCAGAAGACTTTTGAAATGGTCCTGGATGTAGATGTCTCCATTGCAGCCCTGCCAATGGAGGCAGGAAGAATCTCCTGATGGGTGGGTGTGTGCTGGGGAAGGGAAGAGGGAGCTTTAGAGGGGATGTCCATCCAGGTGCCACCTGCCAGGGAGGGCGATGCGTTTGGGGAGGTGGTAAGCACCTGAGGGGAGCCTGCTGTTCTCATTTTGGGTGGACAACGTCCTCAGCTGTGAGATTCTGGGATGATTGAAGGACTAGACAGCTTCAGCCCTGTCACCTTTCATGGGACATCCAGATGTTTTTGGTGCTTCTCTTTTCAGAACCAACTCAGGTCCGGCTGGTGAATGGCTCCAGCCACTGCTCAGGGCGAGTCGAGGTCCACCACAACCAGTGGTGGGGGACAGTGTGCGATGACAGCTGGGACCTAAGTGATGCTGAAGTGGTCTGCCGGCAGCTGGGCTGCGGGCTGGCCCTGTCAGCCCCTGGCAGGGCTCCATTTGGTCAAGGACCTGGTCCCATCTGGCTGGACGAAGTGAACTGCAGAGGGACAGAAGGTGCCATAACTGAATGCAGCTTCAAACCCTGGGGAGCCCATAACTGCAACCATGGTGAAGATGCAGGTGTCGTGTGCTCAGGTAAGCCTGGTCCAGGTCATAGCTTCAGGGAGAAGTTTTTCTGTAGGTACACTTGCATCTAATTTCAGTCTTCTTCCCTCTCTGCACACATTATTTTCCTTTGGGTTAGAACACCATTGCAAGCAACAGTCAAAAATGTTTGGGAGGTGAGGTAGCTCTGCTTCTGTAGGCATCACATCAATACACTATCCGGATGCACTCCTGACCATTTGTGGTAATCCTCTATCTGACACTTTAAAATGTCAGTTCTCAAGTGGCTTGTCACGTCCATCATGCACACCTGCCCTGGATGTTGAAGTGCCTGTGGTCAGAGGAGGTATTTGGCCACTGATGCTTGCCATGCATGGCTGCAGGCTTCTCCATCTCTATGTCCCAAGCTTCTTCTGGATCTTTAGACATAGTCCAAGATGGAAAGACATCCCCCCATCCCTACAGCTTGCAATGGGATGCCAGACCTGTCTTACCAGAAGACAAACCCTTGGTGACTTCAGGGAATATTTGCAAGGAGCTGCAACAGAGCAGAGCAAACAGAAGCAGCATGGAAAGACTCCTCCTCGATGGAGCCAAGTCAGTCCAGCCTTCATTTGGCTCGAATAAATAAATGTAGGTTTTTAAAGTCTTTCCTCATTAGATGTGTTCTCTGAGGGAGATGTAGTCACCCTATCAAACCTCCAAAGCATGCTTATAGTTTGGACGTGGATGTCCAAGAGTCTTCTTGGCATTGCCCAAGGGAAACACTCTCTGTGAGGCATCCCACAGTGTTTTTACCTTCTCCTAAATACAGCCAGGCCTTTCTGTTGCTTCCAGCTGAAGATGCTGATGTGGATGGGGGATGCATGATTATGCACTCATGCCTTGTATAGTTGCACGTCACCGCCAAAACCAGCAGGGCATCTACTTCAGAGGGCATAGGTGCACCATGCCCCCGTTTATTCATTTGTCTCATTCCCTCTTTAGACCCCACGGAGCTACGGCTGGTGAATGGCCCAAATCGCTGCACTGGGCGCCTCGAGGTCCTTCATGACCAGCAGTGGGGGTCCGTGTGTGACAACGGCTGGGACATGGAGGATGCCAAAGTGGTGTGCCGGCAGCTGGGCTGTGGTGCTCCAATCTCTGCTCCAGGCTGGGCTAGGTTTGGCAGGGGCTATGATCCCATCTGGCTGGAGACAGTCAGCTGCCGGGGGACGGAGGCTGCCCTTACCGAGTGCAAAGCCCAGGTGTGGGGCATCCACAGCTGCCACCACGGGGAAGATGCCAGCGTGGTGTGCTCAGGTAACCCCCCACCACCGCGTTCCTCCCGCGTGTCCATAGGAAGAGCTGTGCCACCACCGAGCCATAGCTCCCTTTCCTCCAGAGCGCAAGGGAATGATAATTCTCTTGATAGTAATGATCATAAAGGTAATAAGGCCAAGGGATGCAAGGGGGATCTCATCACTGCTGCTTCACCCATGTTCCCTGGCTCATTTTCAGCCTAAGTGGACAACCACTGAGCATCTCCATGGTATGGTGACCATGCTGGGTCCCATGGGAATTCCTGTTTCATGAAAGTGTCACATCAGGAAACTGAAATTAGAGGTGGCCACAGTCCTGTGTGAGATCCCATGCCCAGGATCATCTCCACCAGAAATTCCTGAAGGGTTGTTGGTGTCCTTCTTTGTTCCAGATCCAATGGCACTTCGGTTGGTGGACGGCCCACGCCGTTGTGCCGGGAGGATCGAGGTGCTTCATCATCAGCAGTGGGGCACGGTGTGTGATGATGGCTGGGACCTGCGCGATGCCGAGGTGGTGTGCTGGCAGCTGGGCTGTGGGGCGGCAGTCGCAGCCCCAGGCTCAGCTCACTTTGGCCGGGGACGTGATCCCATCTGGCTGGATGAGGTGAACTGCACAGGGACCGAGTCCGCCCTCTCTGAATGCAGGGCCAAGCCAAAAGGAGTCCACAAGTGCCACCATGGAGAAGATGCTGGTGTGGTGTGCTCAGGTAGCTGCTGTTCCTCTGCTGATGAGCTCCTGGGAACCAACACTGCGGGAGCTACAGGACCAGTTTTTCTTGGTTATCTCTGACTATGTTCTTTCCACTTGGGAATCCTCAAATCTCTAACTCTGAGACAAGACGCATGCTGAACATGTGGGGATTCATCCTCCATCTCACATCCAGCACTGGCTTTCTACATCACTAGGTCCACCACCACAAGGCAACACCTCTCTCTCTTTCCATTTCAGACCCTACTGAGGTCCGGCTGGTGAACGGCTCAAATCGCTGCTCTGGGAGAGTTGAGGTGCTGCACAACCAGCGATGGGGAAGTGTGTGCGACGATGGCTGGGACCTGGACGATGCAGAAGTGGTATGCCGGCAGCTGGGCTGTGGGACAGCCATAGCTGCTCCACCCAGAGCTCAGTTTGGAATGGGGCATGAGCCTATCTGGCTGGATGACGTGAACTGCACCGGCACCGAGGCTGCCCTCTCCAAGTGCAGGGCCAAAGCATGGGGAGAGAGTAACTGCGACCACCGAGAAGATGCCAGTGTGGTGTGTGTGGGTAAGCCACCTCATACTCCATCGTGGTGCAGCTCTGGAAGGAGCAATGTTGGCACATGGATGGCTCAGTGGAGAAACACCTCTGCTCTGCTCATGTTAAGCCTCTTGCCTCTGTGTAGGAGCCAATTCCAGGTTGTCCGAGAACAGCAGCTCCCCTTGGCCACCATGAGGACTTTCTCCAGGAGAACGAGTGTCAGTCCCCAACCATGACCTTGCTCTCCCCTATAACCCCTTAATTGGTCCCTCAACTAGTCTGCTATGAGCATCCTTTCCTTTTTCATACGTGCACGGTGCTAACATGACACATATTGTCACCGTACTGTAAAGTCCATTGAACCTCCCCCGTACCTTGGATCCATCTTTTCTGGTTGGACTGCCAGGACACCAGCATCTAGTGCCACTTTCGATGCGATGGCTTCCTGCCACCACTCCAGAGGGGGATGGATCTTTATTCCGCCCTGTGTCATGGCTGCCCCCTCTTCCTGGGTTTCTTGGATGCCTGAGGGCACCTAAAATGGGATCAGCTGCCTGTGTGTATGCCAGTGACTCTCCACATCACCTTGCAGGTGGCCACCATTTGAGGACCCATCTTCCAACACATGGGCAAGAAACACGTATGTGTTTGACCTCTATGTCTTTCATCATTTCAGGACCAGCACAGCTCCGGCTGG